ACTGGTAGGTATGTTGTGATTTATTTCTGCTGAATTATTAATAACCATAAAAAAGAAAATCAATTTGATTCAGAAATAAACACTATTTATGTTACCAACATGCCTATTGCCTAGGCTAATTTGCCTTGTGAGCATAAAAATGGCTCAAATGTGTGTCACTGCTGCTGCGCCAAAGCTTCTGATGTTTGGCCGGTAAATCGGTCTGCGGCCCGCTGACGAATGCGCGCACCTGTAGCGTAGCGAGTGTGGCTTCCAGGTAAACAAACCCCGGGGCCTGGCCGCGAGCAAACTATAATCCGGGAAATAATTTGTCTCCATTGTGTGGTTCAACGTACTAGGAGTGCGCCGAGTAGCTTATTACCTCAGCAATGGCGAACAATGACAAAGGGTGTGATTAATAATGTTTTTAACTAAGATGTTAGTAAAATACTGAGCTCAGCTTACCTGTATTGTATCTAATTTGACTTTAATAAGCATTTGGATTGTTCAACATATACCCGCAAATATGTTTTCATTTCATTGCTCTGTTTGACCCTCCCCGGCCAAGAGTGAAGGGATCGTGTGCCGCCCCTTCATATTTTTTTTTTTTACGATGGCTCGGAACACGCCGGGATAGAGAGCTGAAATGTAACATATCTGACTATGCCTAGAGCGAGATCTTGTGATATCAACTGCATTTTCAGGTCAGGTCAGGTCGCTGACCTATGACATCATTAGTAAACCTCTGCACGGTCCTAAAATGTCGTAACTTCGTAATGCTGTCAGTGCCAGAGGAGGTTTTACAGGATGATGAACGTACCGGACCCAGGTATCCTTTATTGGTCCTAAAACTTACATCTCTCTTATTTTTCCTCCAGAGGTCAGGTCGGTCGGTCACGTCACCTAGTCCTACCGATTACGTGACAAAAGATCGTAAGACAAAAAATCGTATGGAAAAAGATCGTACGAAAATGATCGTAAGATAAAGATCGTATGTTGTAAAAGATCGTACGGTAAAAAGATCGTAAGCAAAAGATCGTAAAGCAATTGATCGTATGTAAAAGATCGTACGAAAATGATCGTAAGATAAAGATCGTATGTTGTAAAAGATCGTACGACAAAAAGATCGTAAGCAAAAGATCGTAAAGCAATTGATCGTATGAAAATGATCGTAGGAAAATGATCGTAAGATAAATATTGTATGTCGCAAAAGATCGTACGACCAAGGATCGTAAGCAAAAGATCGTAAAGCAATGGATCGTACAAAAAAGATCGTAGGAAAATGATCGTAAGATAAAGATCATATGTTGTAAAAGATCGCTCGACAAAAGATCGTAACGTTACGTTCGTAAAGTAAATAATCGTATAGAATAGTGTTGTTACGAGCGAGCGAGCGCAGCGAGCGAAGCGAAGTCTTTTCAATATAACGGCTGGAAGTATGAGCAGAGAACTAGAAGCTGCCAGAGCGAACAGAGTGGCATGATATGGTCTGCGGGCCGCGGGCATTGAGCTTTCGTTAGGAGTCTTTTTAGAAGTCTTTTCAATATAACGGCTGGAAGTATGAGCAGAGAACTAGAAGCTGCCAGAGCGAACAGAGTGGCATGATATGGTCTGCGGGCCGCGGGCATTGAGCTTTCGTTAGGATGCAGGCATGCTATCGGGGAAACTGGCCGGGTGTTTGTCGTTTGAACGGCTTGTATTTTGCATTTTGTCAAAAGAAATGATCGCATACAAGTTGTTTGTGGTTATTACCAATAACGGACAATTGACATCTTTAACCGGCCTTCGATAACAATGACTCCTATAACTAGGATTGGATTGAAACTAGGATCCTATAACTAGGAGGATTGCGACTTCGATAGTGATAACGCGATAAACATCTGTTGATGAGTCGTAAAGCGATGACGATTCTACATGAAAATGTAACAGTGCGAAGGAAAAAGTATTTTTAACGCCGTTTACTTCAGCCGCTTAAGCAACATTTTAACCTTCCAGGCGGTGGGGGGGGAGGAACATGGGTTTAGTTGTATTCACTTCAAATAGGTACATGAAAACGGCAGCACATACATTCATTTATTCGGCACATATACAACGCGTTGCTTTTAGGTGTCATTGAGCCATCTAAGCTCTGAAATAACATCAATGTATGGTCGAGCTTACGACGGCCACTTACTAAGCGAAAATAGAAATTGATAAGCTTTGTATGCGCTGGAGTTGGGCTGCACCATGTGCCATGTGATTGTTTGTTTGTTTTGTTTTGTTGGGTTAGGCCCTTTCGGTCCAATGAGACCATTTCAGAGCCGGGAGGATGATAGGATATAGGGGGAGACATTGGTCTGGGCAGGCACCCTAGTGAGTCGCCGGGGCTGAGCCCGTCCAGAGGACAGGCCACCCAGCCCCAAGGCACTCACTGCACCCGGCTACGGGATGCGCTCCCTCGGGAGCAGCGGTGCCGCTCCAAGGGAGCAGCCCGCATGAGATAAAGTTGTCTGTCCAGCCCGGAGGGAGGTTGCGGCGTGGAGGAGAAGGATTTCAGTATCCTGAGGATAGAAGCACGGAACGGTGCCTGCCATGTGAATACCATATTTTGACTGTACGATCTTTATCTCTCATACGATCATTTGGCGTACGATCATTTTCCTTGACGATCTTTAGCGAATACGATCTTTTGTCCATACGAGCATTATGTCGTACGATCTTTATCCATTACGACTTTTTGGCATACGATCATTTTCCTTGACGAATGACGATCTTTAGCGAATACGATCTTTTGTCCATACGATCATTATGTCGTACGATCTTTATCCATTACGACTTTTTGACATACGATCATTTTCCTTGACGATCTTTAGCGAATACGATCTTTTGTCCATACGAGCATTATGTCGTGCGATCTTTATCCATTACGATATTTTGCATACGATCAACTGCCTACGATCTTCTGCCATACGATCTTCTGCTTTACGATCTTTTGTCCGGTTACCGTCCTACCATTGTAAGTGAACGTGGGAAAAATGGAAACTGTCACTTTGGCACCGAGAATAATTTTAAACTACCCAAGCACATCGAATCGTGATTTTATGGATTTCTTCAAGGTCCGATGCCTAACCTTTGCATCAATAACCCTGCGTCACGTCATTTACGACGTCAACAAGGTCTAGGACTTGTATAGGAGTTTTTGTCAATAAATCCCAATGAAATTGAACTAGAGAGTCGGGAAAGCCATCAACGGTTTTGGGAAGACCTGCCAAATCAAAAGATATGCAGCATGACCTCCTTCGACCAGCCTCGTAACATGCGTGGCTCTGACCTGACTTTGACCCAAGGCCGACACCTTTAGTTAATCTCACACACACGGACAAAAAGTATGATCATATCATTCGACGTATCGGAGCTTGGAAAACACCATGGTACCAAAATCGCGGCTCTGCGACCATTTTTTGGCGAAGTTAGTTACCAAGTGCCGAACCCACACCTTAGAGCACTTGACCTGACTTGACCAGGTTACCGGTTGACCTGAGAACTTCAAAACCGGTTAGCATATAAACACTAGTGATGCCAATTATAGACAATCGTGATACCGATACCAAACCAAATACCAACAATAACAATGGAAAAATAATGAAACCGAACGGACTTGGCAATATGAGGGAAATGCCAACTTTTTACCACATTCTCAGCCTCTTTTACATTAATGAGGATTCACATTAACAACGAAATACCAAATGCATTCGCTTTCAGATACCAAATACCAAGCTGGTATCGGCTTGGTATCGGTATACCTACCAAAAAGTTTATATCCGATTCACATCTCTACTAAACACGATTATAAAGATATGAGCCTGTCAATAGCAGCACAGGCCCGGAAATGGCATTTTGTTTCGTTTATCTTCGAAAGACTGAATATCCTTCTGGCCTCAGGGTTCCAGGACAACACATTATGACCTCCATGTATAGATAACTGTATATTTTCACCAGCCTCACAAGTTTCAAACATTGACACACATTAACCCACGCCGTGCCAGTGGTCTTGGTTATCAGTAAAAAACAAGACTTTTTGTTCTATTCCTATGTCGCTTCAGCTGCTGCACTACAAAGAGACAAGTCACGCCAAAGTTATTTTCCCGAATTAAGCGTTTCCTGATACATTGCTGCGAAAATTGTCAAGAAGATGAAGTCAGGCTGTGCTATGCGAGAACAATCGCCGAATCTTTTCATACATAATTTGACAGGATGTCAGCAAAATCGCTTCCAAAGAGCTGGGTTCCTTCCAGAGCCAGTCATAAACAACAGTGGCCATGTTTTTGTGGCCAAGCCAAGTGCGTTAGTTTTGGTCATTAAGGTGTCCAAACCTAACACAAAACATATAGGTATGTATTATATATGCATACAGGTCTTACCTCTTCACACATCAATAAATTTGTTCAAGGTTACCACCGTTGCAAAGACACAATTCTTGTTGTGTAGTTATGGAAATTAAAAAGCAAATACATTTAAATGTTATGAAAATATGCCAGTAAATAAGGAAACATGTGTGCTGCTGTACTGTTTTTCTCCATTTGAAGCCGAACCAGAAGAAGGAAAAGGAACATCTCCAACCCTGGCACGGAGCGGGTTACCAAAATAACAACATTAGGTACCTACAGAGCAGGGTATATGCCTACAGAGTCCAGGGATCAACATTCAACACTCAGCACAAGTGGACCGCGTTAAACACACACGATAGACGGCATGAAAACCGTATACAAAAGGTGTTTAGCCCTCTAATAATATTTTCCGTAAATGCACGATCAGCTAATGACTTTGCCTCGCGATATGCACCACAATCACATGTGCTAGATAGTGCAGTGATATTTCACCTGACGGAAATGTTTACGATAACATAATACCAACGAGGGGTTCTGACTTTATGACTGAAATATGATCACAGTTCACTTGCTTGACAGACAGTCGAATTATAAGACCAGCCTCTGATGTAATCCGATTTTAATATTTTGAAATGCCTGCTGATTCTACAATGATGTAGAATGCTGAGGTTTATTTGCACAAACGAAACATGAAAGAAACAAAGAGGACTGTGGGGCTAATTTATGTCCAATAGCAAAGCATTGCTGACTAATGGTTGTGATAAATGACAGAGGTCAAATCAGGACAGCTAGTGTCACCAGCGGAATAGAGGGCTGACCTAATGTGACCTCAGGTGCAGTGCTGACCTTCGTGAGACCTTGCGGGCTCTCCTAGCTCCGAGTGATTGAATTTTCATTACATTTTGCGCAAATGAGTCGTTGGGTGCTGCTTTGTTGACAAAACTTGACGGAACACTGGCATACACCCGCGATCTGTCGTGATGAAATCGGTTATTTGAACCTGCATATGACCACACAGTCGGTATCTGTCGCGCTTGCGTACTGGGTATCGAAGCCAGTGGCCCTTTGCCGCAGATAAGCACTGCAGTAGTTACAGAGTCAGACTGAGGTGCTGTCTGCAGTCTGATTATCCACGGAATGCAGTCGATATGTAAAGTCTGGATACCGGCAGCCTGACGCTGGTCCTCGTAAATAGACATCCTCCATTGGCTACCGCATTCAGACCGTCCGCAGTCTGGACACTCCCTGCCTGAGGCCGGTCCCGGCAGACACTCGCCGTCTGCTCCATGGGTCTGGTCCTCTGAGACTGCCCGCAGACAGTCTCCGGTCTCAGCCGTGGTCTGTGTGGTCTGCAGACCACCGTCCGAGGCCTGTCACGACAGACAGCGCTGTCTGCACTCCACACAGCTGACTGAGAGCTTCGGCAGACAGCCACTGTCCGCAGATATCTCGGTGTTTTCTCGGCTGTCGCCGTAGTGGAGCTCTAAGTTGTCTTGTAGATATCATAGATGCTGCTTTTTACCCGGCAGGCAGCAACTCGGTTCGCCTCCCGCTGGAAGAGCAACGGCAAGGTGTCAACCAGGAAACAAATACAGCTTTTCCTTACATTGATTTTGATGTCATGCATATACTTTTCGCAGCTAGTTGCAGCCATAGACAGTAGACACTGTTATGCAAGCATTTCAATCGCGGCAGCGTGGGCTCCGTGTTTCGCCATCCTCCAAGCGGGACACCGTCGACCGACAGTCTTCTACCCACGCCCCCAGGTGGCACTGGTGCCTACTTTGTGAGTATCGAGCTCTGTTCGGTCCCACCGAGCCAAACAGCTGATCCAGCTGAGTTTGATGTATCAATGGGTTGCACCTTTACAGACGCCTTTCTGCAGGAATCCAGTTTGTGCCCTAGGTAATGAAATCTGATGGCCAAGAGCTACAAATAAATAAATGATGCCTAATTAGGCTTATAATCTAAATCTCATATACCTAGTTTAGGGGCAGTAAAATATATCAGAATTATATGATAATCATTTATTTTTTATTTGTGACTCTCCGCCTTCAGATTTCATAAATAAGTCCAACAGTTTTGTTGTACCCTAATAGACGGGAGCTCTGGCTGTACAGAACAAAATTCTGTCACTCGACACCCCGGATACCGCTGTTATCTTTTGAAAGATATCAGAAAGGCCGTGGACTATTGCAAAAAGAATCGCAGACAGTGGCTTTGATCGAAGGACCTCAAACACTGAACTTGACGTCACTTACTAACTGGAACACACTGATAGACAGGAAAAAGTCCTTAGAAGTTATACTTGAACCCCTTTACTGGAAGTAAATTAACTGTGAGACGGGGGAGGGGAGGGAATTCGCTCCCTTCATATCTTGAGAAATGTTTGGTTGATTTCGATGCGTTGAACGATATCTGTGATTTTTAACTGTGAGTTACTTTGTAATGCATTAAATAGCGTACCTATTAATTTGCATACCTACCTATTGTAATTACCTATTTTTGTTTGCGTGCAATGCAAAAATGAGACCTGTGACAATGCCGTATTTATGACGAAACTTGCGTGATATGTATGGAAAGGGTCGAGCCGGTGCGGTGGGGGAATCATAGTCATATCGTTATGGTGCTCAATGTACATACTTTGAGTTACAGATAGCTGGTAAAACTACTCCCGTCTCTGTCCTTCGTAAGTGAGACAGTATTGGGTGAAAACGACTGTGCGGTAAAAAAACAATGCCTACATTGTTAAGCCCCTAATGCAGAGAGTCATTTGAGTCGATAGGATGAACTGTTTATAGTTTCAATAACCGTCCCTTAGAAATCCCAGCATACAGGCAGGGATTCGAGGCCCCAGGCAGTCAGCATTGTGTCCAGACATCGTTTGTCAGGCTTTATGCGAAATTTATGCCGTCAAATTCTGCAGATTATTGTATCGCTCGTCTAATAAACGCACGCGATACGCGACGTGGCTCAGATTAGAACCTGGGTATATGTGAAAGCACCAAGTGCTTTCAGGGGCGGATCCAGCCGAACCGTTTGGGGAGGGCAAAAGTTTAGCCGACCATCGGCGACCCCGACCCACCACCGCGCCAGTGACCAAGTTACTTTACAACGCCAGTTACACCATCTTACCGTAAGATGGTATAACATGTCTTATGTTAACCCGTGCCCAGCCGCGCTGGGGCTCCTGGATTTTCACGCCCCTGGGGGATGTTTGAACGCCCATATCCCTTCTAACTCGGCTCCTGGGCCACGTAACAACACGCGGTAGGTGGCGTTTGAAAAAGTGTCAAACATAATGACCAAATTACCCCAGTCACTTTTAAGGTCAGGTCAGATGTCAGATCACCAGAGCCCATCAAAGGCCAAATCCCGATAATATTTATGTCCAGTTTCGACAATTTTTGAAGAACTGGCGCATAACTCGGAAACGAATAGAGCTAGAGCGCCCCAGAAAAGCTAATTTGATGGCACTGTTGCTGCTCTTTCTGGATAATTCGCTCAGATTGGAACTAAGATCAACGGTTTAGCCTTCAGGGGAAACTTCCATAATATATACTATTTTTACGGGAACGGATTTTCTGCGATAGCTTTTGAATCAAACCTTGTGCGATCTTACTTTTACCGGCATCGTGTTCCTCTCGCGAAGACGCGTCGAATGAGTTATAATTTGATCTTAAAAAGTGAACTTACAACTTTGACATTTGGTCAAGTCATGACTTGACCGGAAAAGGTCGTGTTGCATATCAGTTGATCTGTATCGTAAAGCTGAACACATCTAAGGTATTTTTAATGCTCTAGAATGCCTCCAGCAGAAGTTATTAGCGAATTGCTGCAAACTATTGCATATCTTTCGTGACCTGAGATGATCTCAGGGACATAAGGAGGGGTCACGGGTGCTATTTTCCGGTTCATGTGTGCTGTTTAGTTTGTAACTCGGTATTGTTAAGAGTGACGTTTCTTATAAATTTAGCACGAATGTTTGAAAGGGCGGATTGACGGGAGCCGGAGCCTACGCTAAGCAGAGCTTGTTGCGTAGAGCCCGACCTCTACCGTCCGATCGCGTAATTCCGGGTGACAGGAGAATTTAGTTTAACGTTTAACAATGCCAATGTTTTATGTGCCCATCAAAGCCGGACACGGCCTGTCCCATTCCTGACTTTGACTGGCTGCGGCTGCTCCCACCAACCTCAGACCATCCCCGTCGGGAGTCTCAAATATCGAGCGCCGGAGCGACTCAAACCCGGGCTCTCACTACCGGGAGTCCACTGCTTTACCATCTGAGCTACCGGACAGGAGGTTTGCCAAAAAAAAAGGTGCCTTTCAATTTTCTCTTATTGACTTATAGTGAAGAGGTCGCAAAAAATGACCTAGCCCTAGGTCATCGATATAAAAATAATGTGACTAACATTTTGTAAATAGGTAGGTACTGTTACCCTTATTAACTGCTGAAAGTTTCAAAGCGATCCGTCACTCGGTTTAGCTATGGCAAGCATTGGAACTGTTTTTAGGTTATGTCACTTGACGTACAGCTTAGTGACTTCGTGACCTTGAGAGACCTTGGTCTGACATTTTCAGAACATATGCAAAAAATAGGTATAAAATGGCGGCTAGGCACGTCGCCGTTTTTTACGCGGAACGCTCCACAGCAATGAGGCTCCTAACAAATGACAAAACTGTGGATTGCTTAGGTAATTTCGAATATAGGGTGGTGGGCGTCTTACCCGACTGGGCATCTTGCCCCGTGTTACCCCACACCATGGCCATTGGCCACACTGCATATGCTTATGCATGCATTCAGTTCAGGGGGTTCAATCTAATATCAGCATATCGACCCAAAATATCAGCAGCCACTGGTCAGATCCTTCCTTCGGAATGGCCGTCACGGAAAGAAGCCCTGCTTTTCGTCCATATAGGCATCGACGCCGCATTAGATTTGCTCATCGCTACATGCTTTGGGAGGGGCAAAAAGATAGTCTTGCCCACACGATTTGGCTTTGGGGAGGGCAAATGCCCATTTTGCCCTCCCCTGGATCCGCCACTGAGTGCTTTGTATAACTGATTTCCATCAATGACAATGAAAATATTTTGCTTACGCTTGGAACTATCCCAGGGTTTCTTCTCTCCACGTTTATTATGGAATTTATAAGCTATTTTACAAGATTCCATTAAGTTTTCTCTCCCCCTAAAAGCTTGCAATCTAGAGAGGCTCAGTAGAATCTAAAAACAAAGGTCACACCACTGCACTGGTGCCAGAAGACGCCAAACCGGTGAGCAGAGAACACGAGTGAGTCTGACGCATTAATCGTGTCGAACCAAGAGCATCCTATATTGTATCCGTCGTTGGCCTCGGTGCCCAGCCTCTCTACCACGGTTGAGACTGGCTGGCTCACGTGTCCCCATCACCCCCCCCCCCACACACACACACACTGACTCCGCTCACCATAATCGTGTCGAAGACCTGGCGCAGGACGGCGCCGTCGACGGCACAGGATCGGCGCGGGCCGCGGTGGCCGCTCGGCGGCGGGCCGCTCAGCTGGTGGACCGCCGGAACGGAGATCTCGCCCGCGTCGAGCTCGTCGAGTAGCCTAAGTGCCGACGGCCCCGCCGGCCCCGCCGGCACCGGCGGCACCGCCGAGCGCTTGCCGTGCGCCCAGTCTACGGAGAACTGCATCTGAGCGGCGGCGACCGTGGCCTGGATCCAGAGCGGCAGCAGTGCCACCAGCACGGCCGGCGCGATCGGCATCTGAGGCACAGATAACAAGAGACACACTGAGTCAGTGAGCTGCAGCGCTCCCGGGTCCTGGACCTCGGGCAGCGCGCTAGGCATCTGAGGCATACACAGAGAGACACGGTTAGTGAGCTGCACTGCAGTGGCCGAGAGTTGCAGAGTCTCTGGGTCTGGAACTCGGCCGGCGCGCTCGGCATCTGAGGCACAGATAAAAGAGAGACACGTGGGCGTGGTGTCAGTAAGCTACATAAAGCGTCCGAAAATTGACTCCTGGGCCCTGGTTCGCCCTGCATCTTAGTCCATTCCAGCCCTCTTATCAGTCCCCCACATCATATCAGTCCCTAGCACTTCCGCACACCAGCTCTCGCTCACCATTAGTCTGCTAGCAGTTATCATGAGGAGGGGGCGAGCTGACGTTGGGCTGAGTAGCTCTCTAGGGAGTAGGTAGCCGGGGCCACCACTGGAAATATCGCGCCTTATCAACTGGCCGACAGGCACCGGGCATTTCCGACCGTTGAGTGTGGACACTGCCGGCGGTGGAGTGTGGACACTAGACAGTGGCCTGCCGAGTGTGGACGGCGCTGGAGGGACGTCCATCTACCCCCTCCCCACCTCCCACCCACGTCCGGTCGAACCGTCCGCCGAAATCCCAGAGAAATGACGCCCACACTTCACCGTCGGCTGGATCAGGCCACCGTCACAGGACGAAACAATTACAAAGGTACGAGCTAGACAAGGTATGAGGAGGAGGGGTAACACAACTCAGACTAGTAAATTGCAGCTCCACCGAGTGCTTGGCAACCGGTGATGGCTGACAACTCGTTGCGAGATAAACGATGGTAGTACAAGTATGTATACTGAGAGAATCAGCCACCAACACCAATACATCAACTCATTCTAATCTGCATCTGCTTGACAACTTCCTTGTTGAAATTCGTCGGTTTTGACCCGGTATAGTTGCTGGGGTATTTCGCCCACCGCCGTTTGCTGGGGGGAGGGGGGGGTGGCTAAACGCCAGCCGCAGCTCGAGAACCAATAAGCACAGCGCAACGCTCGAGGTGACAAACGAAAGAACGTGACGAGACGCTTCGAATGAGTATTTGAAATTTGAATTTCGAGGTCACAGGTCGGGTCAATGTCAGGTCAAACACCTGAAAATGGGCTTACAAATTTCGATAGCATGGATTTAAGAACCTCGTACACAGCGTTTCTCGTCATAAGGTTTCCTCTTTTTACAAGCAATAAGTAAGTGCGCTCTTTTTGCGAAGCTCTAGCTCGATCAGAGGTTAATTGACCCGCCCCCCCCCCTCCTTCCCCGTTAGCGACTATGAAGACAGTACGTGCATTAACAATGGAATGTTCAAAATTACAAGGAAAAAAGTGAGAAACAATCTTGAATCTGCCAACATTGGTAGGGTAGACCGGGGCAAGTCGCCCCGCCGAGGTAAAACGCCTCACCGATGTTTCTCGGAACTGGCAAGGATCTGGGGAAATATTCTCTCTTCTATAAAACGTGCACTATATGATCATTATATGACCAGACTTGAAAGAAATTGTGATGACTCCTTAGGGAGATATAGCCAAAAATGTGTTTTTGGAGTGATTTTTATGTTTTGTTGTCAGGTTATGCATCATGGCGTTCTTTTATGGTCTACATCAGGTTAACGACTTTTATGTATTTTGAACAGCTATTATCTAACGCTTATAATGCCGGGTTGGTTCGTGTTAAATTATGTCTTGCTGGAGTGCAAGGCGTTGTTTTCTGACCGAACTACGTGATGGGGTAAAACGCCCCAGCAGGTCGCGGGGCAAAAAGCCCCATGGGGCGTTTTGCCTCATGTGTTGTTCGTACTACCCATTTCCTAATGTTCGGTAGCTGGCAAACAGTAAGTTTCTATGCATTTATGTGTAGTTTTCTCAGCAACCGGATGGCAAAGGAAGTATTTGGTTGACAGTTGCATGGCAATAATTTATTATTTGGCCTTATGAGGCAGGTGAAAAACCTGCTCATACAATAGTGTCATAGCTGAACACCTGATAGGATGGAAGGTGCTAACTTCAGTGCCGTGCCTCCCAAGGTCTAACGGACCTCTCATATAAGATTTGGTCAACTAGCATGTTTAATCTTTAATCTAGAGTATGGGGCTTCTTGCCCCGGGCCGTGGGGCGTTTTGCCCTGGGGTTGGGGCAAAATGCCCCATTTGCAGTTGCTTCACAAATCACTTCCTAACTTGGAGTCCGATCATGAGTGAATGAATTTGAGGGGTGGAATTTAAAGTAAAATGTCCAAAGAACGCATTGAGCACAAATTTGGCCTTCCAGGTGATGTAGGACAAAAGTTATGTAGCAAAATAAATTATCTGGGGCGTCTTGCCCCAGGCTACCCTACCAGACGAAAGAAAAATGATCCTGTTAAAACGTTTTAACTAGTTAGCACGGATACAAAAACGAAGCTTTAACAGGCAATGAGCAGCGAAGAAGCAATTTTCTGAAATTAATGACCTAGGTAATTGGCAGAGTAACTTTGAGAAAAAAACAGCGGGCTCGCCATTCGTTTAGATTTCGACACTTAGCAGTAAACGGCGAGTGCAGGCCGCCAAGCGCCTCTGGGTCATGACACATGCAACGAGATCAACGTCTCTTTAAAGGCCGCCCCACACTGGACGTCGCATGCGGGTTGCGAGTTTTTGGATTTTCGGGTTTCTTCAAAATCAAAAGATACAATCTAGGCTGAGTGACCCACACTACCATCTAACAAGCGAGTCTGCGTGTTTTTAGCTTGCGAGCGACTTCGCATCACACTCCAAAAGTAGATTTTGAGTCAACTTTCGATTTTCCTCGCTGCTAGGTCTGCGAGTTCTGCGAGGTTTGCGGGTTTTTCGTTGGAGTCGAATTTTGGTTCGTTGCGCTGGTATTGCGACTATATGTAAGTTTCTGAAGGTGCACCGGCTTCACTGCATTCGTGAAGTTACCATAAGGGAACGGTCTAATCACTCATGAATTAGTATTATGCCCGCAAACTCAAAACCCGCAAACTCGCAACCCGCATGCGAGTTCCAGTGTGGGGCAGCCTTAACCCGCGACCGTTCTGGTGTTCTGAGTTTTCCATGCAGTGCTGGGGAGGAAGCGTTTCACCGCCCCCCCCCCCCCCCCCCGTCTAACTCTGCTCCTGGGCCAGGTATATAGTGACTTGCGGTAAGGTAAGCGGTATTGAAAAGAGCGTCAAAACTCAAAAGTAATTAAAATATTTACTTAGCCGTTTTTCTAGGTCAAGTCAGGGAAAGACCAGGTCACTAGTGGTCATCAAGGGTCAAACTTTTGCCTATTTCAACAATTTTTGACAAACGGCGGCAAAACTCGGGAGCCAATAAGACTACAGCGCCACAGAAAAGCGCATTCGATAACTCATTAAACGTTCTTTCTGCAGACCGCCCTCAGATTCGAGTTAAAATCAACGGTTTAGGCTTTTGAGGGAAATACTCATAAAATAGCCGTTTTTTACGAAAAGCGTTTCTGAAAACATTTTACTCAGGAATACCTATACGACATGGCTTTTGCCAGCACCGTGTCCCTCTCTTCAAGACGCGTCGAATGGACCTTGAAAGATCGTTTTAAGAATTTGACCTAAGATCAGGATATGACCTGACCGGAAAAGGCCATTCGCATAAAAGTCGATCCGTATCGTTGAGCTTATCTCAGCTCAGGTGTTTTCATCGCGCTAGTATATATCTAGGTATCTCAAAAGTTACTGAAAAACTGCTGAAACTTTTCGTGGCCTGAGATGACCTCAGGGAGATAAGGAGAGGTCATGGGTGCAATTTTCCGAATCAGTGTGCCATTTTCACCTGCATAGATAACATGATTCATGTCACCTGTTATCCGATGTTTGAGAGTGTTTAGTTTGACATTCGTCTCGAAAAGGTGCATTTCAATTTCCGCCTTACAATGGAGAGGTCGCAAAATTGACCTGACCATATGGTTACCGATATCAAAATTCCGAGATACCCATTTTATACATTGTCTTTTTTCTCTAATACATTATAATACATTATTTTTTCTAATGTTTGTCAATCGCCTGAAGTTTCAAAGCGATCGCTCTGTCGGCATGGCTATGGCGAGCATCGGAACTTTTTCTAAGAAGAGGTTACTTGACGTGAACTGGTGACCTGACCTTGATCGACCCGGGTCTGAAATTTTCACATGGGCAGAATAGATGCACGCTAAGGTCTGCCAAAAACCTTAGGGGTAAGCCCCCCCCCTCCCAGCACGGCGCGAGTTAACCCGCGCCCAGATGGGGTCTGCCGAGCAACGCGGTCTGATGGGGGGGGGGGCCATTTTGGCCCCCCCCCCCCTCAGATCTCGAGAACCACGCAACATAGCGACAAGCGGTAAACGGTGTTGGATAGCCCCAACAGGGAACTACCTTGTGACCCAATTTCATTGACCTCGGTCAAACCGATGACGTCACAGGTCAGGTCAAAGGTCGAATTTTCACCGTTTACAGGCATTTCAAGAAATACGTTGTAAAATCGTGTAAAATGCATTTCATTGAAAATCATCGATGGGGAAATGTTCTTCAAACACATATTTTGCTATTTGAGGTCACTGATACCAGGTCAGGTCACAGAGGTCAGGTCACTGGGGGTCACAATATGAAAGTGTCGTGTGATACATGTTTTATGGTCCATTTTACATGACAAATGCGATTATGTGGGTCAGACAGACTTTAGGGCCAGCTTAGGTCACGTTTTGGTCAAGGTTAGGTCAAGGTCAGGTCAAGGTCAGGTCAAATTAGGTCAAATTTCAAAGTTGATATTTTTGCATAAAATGGGTATCGATTCGATGCAGCTCGTCACGGGGAGTTCAATGGTGGTCTCCGTTTTGCGCTACGAGGTCTAGAATTGCTAAAAATTGAGTTCAAAAATTTGACGTCATCAATTTTTAACAGTTTTTTCGCTATAACTTGGCCAAAAAAAGAGGTATCGATCTAAAATTTGGTATGTATATCGAAGAGCGCAGGGACTATCACATATATTCCTGTTTTTACGAAATTCGAAAAAATTTTGGAAATTTTTTGAGTTTTTCTAAAAAAATCATTTTTTTTATTTTTGGGGGTCAAAATCCAAAAATTTCAAAAATCCGAGATAGCAGTTTTGTAGCACCGTCTTTTCTCTACACAAACACATAAAGAACTTTAAAATTGCTTGTGAACTGTAGAATTGGTGAGCGTTTCAAGATGTCATGTTTTTTGCTCATTTTTACTCGAACATGACCTCAGTTTGACCTCAATAACTCCTGACCTGAGGTGACCTGTGACTTGAAATTTTGTGTGAAGGTGTCAAATTGATGTCCGGTAAGGTACCCAAAATTTGGCGGCGCTGCGCGCCGCCGTTTTCTCGCTATTTAAGAAAAACCACAGGGGGGGGCCAAAATGGCCCCCCCCATCAGGGCGCGGGTTAACAGGAGTTTGACGGCAGCAGATTGGCGGCGGTTTTCTGTGCGAAAGGTCAAGGTACTTGATTATGACGTAACTGAAATGTGAATTTCCACTTAAGTAGATGCATTTATTACACGTGTACTACTACTCTTGTGTACATGCAAAAATGTTGTGTGTATGCGTGTGACTTTTCACGTACCGTTGCGGAGTCTCGCCTCCCTCTGCTGACGTGACCCGACCACGCTGAGGGCCGCGGCGCGGCGCGCTGAGCAGCTCTGACACCAGCTCGGCCCGCACGCACCACCTTTGTATCGGCACGACCCGCCCACAGCCGTGACGTCATCAAAGCGGGGGCGGGGCCTGCACAGCTGGGAAATTCGTCAGCCGTAGATAGCAATGGAAAATTTCACTTACGAAACGCAGCGAAAAAAAAAAACTGAACCTTCATCAAACCAAAACGTATACGTAAATTTTAATAGGGTCAGATAATGATTTTCTCATTTTCCTTTGAACTGTGGCAAATATTTCCTATTGGGGCTGATGTAACTTCACATAACATTTTTTTCAAGCGATTCATCTTTTTTTCTATCCCAAAAATATTCGGAATGGCTGTCGAATTCGCGCTTACGATTCATGAATATTTGCATACTCTTTTTTAGTTTTAGGCAGCGCGTACAAAAAGCGCAACTGAACTCACTTTTTTACAAGTCTCGAAGTGCAAAATGTTTATCATGGTGAGCACTTTTGAGTGCTGCCTTTTACTCTACGCCAACGGCTCCAGAGTTGACATCACCTTCTCCAGAACGGCGCGTTTACCAGGAGACCCTGCAGCGATGCGCGTGCAATCCATTCACTAGGAATCGAGAGGGCATGGATCATTGGACCCATGATAATAAGTATTGATAAATTCGAAGCGTTTTTTATTCAATTTAGCATTGCGTTTTATTTTCATATTGCATAGGTAAAGTTATCATGCTTATTGAAGGCACTCGGCAAAGTTCGATAGAATCGTGCAACGCGGATAAATGGAGGTGTGTTCGCTTTTTTCTTGGTGTAAAACCGCATGGTCTTGCTGCCATCGTGTGATTTTAAACGACATTGAAAATGTTATCTCGCTAATATTTCAAAATAGATAGAGGAACCTAGGGATCAGTGCACTTTACGGTCATTCAGCAAAATTCATTGTGAACCATGTCACGACCCGACGGCCCTTCGAGGATAGGTAGGTACTGCTGACTAAATGAAATTGCGCTTTCATCCAACACCACCAAGTGTTAAAATCGTGCACTCGCATTTAAACAATAGCTCATGAGCAGCGTGGAGAGGACGGTTGTTTGCGCGTTATCGGTCACACAGCCTCTATATAACGGGTGGAACTGTGACTGACGGCTCCGACGTGCCCCTGGGAGGCGCGCCCTCGGGCAGACAGCCGCCGTCGAGCCTGGGATAACGCTCTGGCCCGACACCTGTGGAACAAACAATCGGCGGCGACTGTGGGCGCCCGCCGTCACGGCCTGTCAGCAGAGCCCCGGCCCCGCCGCCATAGATGGTCTCCCTGCAGGAATCCGAACCGGTGTGCACGCGATCAATCACAGAGCGATCCGAGTCTGAGTGCCGGCGCGCCGCCGGTAGCCCGGTGCCGCTGATATCGCTCAGGTATCGGACGGCGGCCCAAACAGTTCAATTAGGGACGGCCCGGAGAGGGATTAGCCGCTGACGGAGCCCGTGCCGGAGCGCCGCGCGCTGTTACCAGTCCGTGTCACCGGCGGCCCCCCTTCCTCCCCGGGGGCGGCACCTGCGCACACCTGCTGCTGAGCCATAACGAGCCGACAATCACGCACTGACGGCGCGCGCTGCAGAGCGCAATTATCGCGCCTCACTGCAGCAGTGGAGAGGCAGCCGGATGGCCGGCGGGGCGGTCGGCTGGAGTCAATCAGAAGCGCCGGCGCGCGGACCCGTCCCAACTCAACTCCGTCCGCGCGCGGCTCTTCACCCACTCGAGAGCTCACTCAGTCCTCTTCCAAACGCATATTGAGTGGGTTTGATATGGCGCTAGCAACCAACAAAGATGTGGATCTGGGAGCATGAATCGTCGGCTATAGGGCCGTGGGTGCCCCAAATCGACCTAAGCCTGAGCTACGAGTACGAGTTGGTCAGGTTTGGGAGACTGGGAAAGTACTGGGTAGGACGCTCGGCCGGTACGGTGGGCATTGCTCATTGCTCACGGAGACAGCAACACCTCATCGGATGGAGGTAGAGCTTGATCGCTAGCGACAAACACTCTAAGACGGCTTGATCTGTGTGTAGAAATGAGGCGATGCGAGTGCAATGCTTACACACTTCAATGTCACTCTTTGACAGTCGAGAATTAAAAAAAAAAACTATCAAATACCCTGCCTGTTCATAACATAGCAGACGTTGAACCGTTCTCTCGATTCTATTGTTGTGTCTCTCTTATCGAGAGGCGGTAAATTATCTAAAGTTTGACCTAAATTCAGTTGAATCATGCATGCTCTAACCGAAAAAGGTCATACTGTACATTGACTGATCTGTGTTGTTGAGCTGAAGCCTGAAGGTATTATTTATTTATTTATTTATTTATTTATTTCACATATCAAACACATCCATTGTAAAATGGCTATTACGTGTTTTCGTCAGGTAACAAAAGACAAGATGAGTAAGATAAAGATAGGAATAAACATGTCACATATCACATTCTCGCATACACACTCCCATACGTACGGCGCAGTCACGATGTCGGTGCAAATAAAAGCGACGCAGAACGGTGACATTAGTCAGGATTCAGCATGTGCTGCTTGAGCGCTTTGCCGAACGTTGTCCTCGGATCTTCCGGCCATTGCTAACATCTGGTGGTAACGAGTTGTACAGCGTGGCGGCTCTGTAAGCGAAACGCTTCCTTCCAAACTCGTTCCTGATGCGCGGCGGACGGTACTGACTGCTTGACCTGGTGTCTCGCGCGTGCACCTCCCGGTTACGCACAAACAGCGCGGTCAGTGCCTCAGGCTCGGATACGTCAGTCAGTCCACGCAGCGCCATCACAGTGTAGTACTGATGGAGCTGACCAGCGGACAGCCAGCCCAGAGATTTTAGAGTGCCACTAATATGATCATGTTTACGTTTGCCAGACAGAACCCTAGCACAAAAGTTAATGCATTTTTGGATTCTCTGGGGCAACTGCCCACCGCGCCGGTCGCCCCGTACACAGACACACAGTAGCGAATCGACGACATCACGAGACCATCCACCAAACGAGGCAGCACCTCAGCCGGCAGGCCATGGTTGGCGTGGTGCAGCGACAGCAGCGTACCCGAACATCGCCTCACAACACGGTTGACATGACTGTCGAACAGCATGTGTCTATCAAATATGACACCAAGGCTCTGAACGGTCGCGCTCTCGTTGATAACAGTATCGTCAATTTTCACTGAGACTGGCGCCAGTTCAATTCAATTCAATTCAATGTGTATTCGCGATAGATCCACGCAAACTGGTGGCTTTTCGCCATCGTACGTAGTAAAAATAAAACAGTGATAAAAGGTAAACATACAGTAGCATCCATCCAAAGCACAGATACACAAACAAAAACGTAAGGCAGGTGACAGTATACCCATTATCCATATAGGGCGCACAGGTAATCACAGCACTCGCCAACAAACCTCCCGGCTCCAGCTCTCGTCACGTTTCGACGGCACGCAGGTGGCGCTTTGCAGCAGTCTTGAATGAGGTTCCTGCAGGCTTCGGTACCTCATTATACAATTTCACACCGCTGAAACACAAGCGCTTGCGACCAGTCTCGGTACGAATACGTGGCACAGTCAGGAGGTCAGCAGACCGTGTGTCGTGATCGTGCTGGCGGCGAGCAGGAGCACCGATAGTCTGCGCTAATGGCGGCGGAACGAGGCATGACATGAGTCGGTGAATGACAAGAACTCGATGATAGGAAATGAGCTCGTCTGCTTTGAACCAACCCAGCGATCGAACCACGTCAGAAATATGGTCGGTCTTCCGACGTCCAGACACAACACGCGCAGCGAAGTTAATCAACTTTTGAATTCGGTGGACCTGCGTTTTGTTACAAATGCCGTATACAGACATGCAGTATCGCATCACGGGAAAAACTAGCGCGGTAATGAGATATTTTACAGTGGCCATTGGAATCACGTGTTTTGCATGGTTCAAAGCGAGTAACATGCCGGTGCACTTCGGTACAAGCTGGTCTACATGCAGACGAAAGTCGAGGTGTTGGTCAAATATCACTCCTAGGTTGCGGGCCTGGTTCATAGATCTAATGGTGGCACCATTAAATTTAACGGTCACCTCCGCGATATCTCTCAGCATTTGCCTTGTTCCGAATAACTTGAGCTCAGTTTTTGCCTCGTTCACTTTCATGTTGTTGCTACAAAACCAGTCGAACATACTCTGGAGAGCGGTCTCGAGTTGTGTCACCAGCTGAGGCAAGTCTTGTTTCTTGCCCGTGATCCAGATCTGGGTGTCGTCTGCGAACTGCACTACCTTTACAGGCGGCGGCACATGCAGACAGAGGTCGTTGGAAAACACACACCACAGTATACAACTTAACCCGCGCCCTGCTGGGGGTCCTGGATTTCCACGCCCTGCTGGGGGGGGGGGTGTTTGAACACCCCCCCCCCTTGTAACTCGGCTCCTGGGCCACGTAGCGATACGCGGAAGGCGGCGTTCGAAAGAGCGTAAAAAATAATGACGAAATCACTTCGGTCAATTTTTTGGTCAGGTCAAAGGTCAGGTCACCAGAGGTCATTGAAGGCAAAATTTCGCCGATTTCCAGGTCGAATGTCGAAAATTTCCAAGAAGCCAACGCATAACTCGGGAACCAATAGAGCTACAGCGCCGCGGAAAAGCGCATTCGATAGCCCTATTAACGCCCTTTCCGAGTAATTCTCTCAGATTTGACCTAACGTCAACGGTTTTGCCTGCAGGGGGCAAAAACTGCAAAAATAGCCGATTTTTTTGAAAACAGTTTTTCTGCAATAACTTTTGACCCAAGCCTTGTACGAGCTTACTTTTACCGGCATCGTGTTCCTCTCGTCAAGACGCATCGAATGAACTATAACTTGACCTTGAAAGGTCAACTTGAAAATTTGACCTCAGGTCAAGGTCATGACCTGACCGGAAAGGGTCATGTTGCATATCAGTCGATCCGTATCGTCGAGCTGAACACATCTAAGGCGTTTTCATCGCTCTAGCATGCCTCTATCAAAAGTTATTTGCGAAAAACTGTTAGATACCATTCGTGACCTAAGATGACCTCAGGGCATAAACAAGGGTCACGGACACTATTTTTAAGTTCAGTGTGTCTAAACCACT